AWWAARASRAACAARAAATAAWSARKWAAWWAWATTWAAWTAAAAAAAAAAAAAAARRAGAGAATAAGTGGAAAAATGAAGGAATGAGAAAAATTGATAATTATCAAAACGAAATGTTTGTTAATTAAACATAATCCTTTTAACTTGAGCATTCCTTTTCTTTACATGAACATATCATTGTATCCTGGAGGTGAAAATTCATCGTTGTCAGGATTTTGTGATCTACGTGGCGTTAGATTTACGTCAGGTGGTCCAAAAGGATCAAACCTTGCTCCGGGTGGCACTGCTCCTCTACAACAATTGTTTTTTTTTTTTTTTTTTTTTTAAATGTGAAACTCTAAACAAAATAATGCACAATTTTGAAATGATATTTTGGAAACATACTGTGGTAATCTGCCAGGTACTCCTAAACCACCAATTCCTCTTGGATCTGTACCCCATCTGAATGGTTCAAAAAGCATTCCACCACCACCACCACCCCTACCTCCTCCAAATGGATTTAAATCTGCTCCACCAACTCTCCTTGGATCTTCTTCAGGTATCCTTTAATAAAAATATCATTATTAAAAATGAATAAAATTATCAATATATCAAATATATTACCAATGTCGTGAAGGATTCCTTGGAGGTGGATCAATATGAATATCCCTAGATTCACGTTCAACATTAGGAGTTAATGTTTGCGTTGATTGTTCCTTACAATTACTTGGATTTATAGGTTCTATAAGTTCTTTATTTAATTTATATAAAACTGTTGAATACGATGGTATCATTACTTCTAATGGACCATGAAGTTCACTGACGGTTTGTGCTAATGGAAAATTCACATTTGTTATTTTTTCATCTTCTATTCTCTGAAAACAAAAACAAAAACAAAAGAAGTATCTTATTAAAATAACAGTCTGTAGAATAAGATACATAACAGTTTGAAAAAATATTATATATTCTAATGTTACCAATAAATTCATAACCATATCTTCGTCAGATTGTACTCCATAAAAAAGAAACAATTTGCCATCTTTTAAATAACGCAGTTTATAATTAGAACCCTTGTTCCATTCTTCTGGAAGTAATTCTGTGCCTTTTTCAGATGGTTCAAATGTTTTCTGAAATAATCAATAAAATAATTATTAATCATTTCTTGAAATGGTGCACAATCATACATATTTGATTTGAATTGATAACGCAAACAGATTAAAAAGGTTAAATCATAATGCAATATTATGCAATGATAAAAAATGACACGCAATAGTCTGTCCAATTGTAATATTTCTCTCCTATAAGGATAAATCAAATGTTTATTATATAATATTTCAATTATACTTACAGAAATTCCATATCCTAGACATTTAAAGCCACACTTTATGAGATACCAATGCACCAATAATATAATTGCATCTTCTTTTTTACGAATATCATTGTCAACAGTTTTTTGTAATAATTCAAAGCCATATTCGACCTTTATCTTGTCGGCCATTGTCAAACAATGCAATGACAATTATCTTTTTTACAGTTTTCAGTGTATAATAAGAGTCTCACTTGTTAGATTTACGATATACTCCCCATTGCCAAAGTTACGTTAATAATAATTGTTTGTGCACGCGGATTTAACGTTTGTACAAAACAAGTGTGAAACAATTTGACCAAATGAAAACTTGAAATTTCCCGACTGATGTTATTACTGCAAGAAAAAAAAAATCCCTATCGTTTAATTTAAAATTTACTTCTTTTCGAATGATATGTAACGACCAATGTATAACCTATAACCATAACCTGTTTTACCAAAGCAGCAGTACTAATGGCACATGTTTATCATAACCTCAATTTGAAACATACTTATGAGATATAATTTTTTGAAAAAAAAGAAAAAAGATATTTCATCAAATAAAATATGTCTATGCTCGCAGAAACTCGAAGAAAACAAAAGTGGACGTTAAATCCACGTGGGAATAATTGGAGCAATGGTATGAAAAAAGAAAAAAAAAATCAAACACAAATAACAATTAAATGTTATAAGAATAATAATGTTATTATATGTCTTTTTTTGTAATTTATTTTTAATCAATAATTAAATTTATTAATATTATTATAAATGTTATATATATATATATATATATATATATAAAATATATTATAATTAAATAGGTTATGTTATATTAATATATTACCATTTTAGATACCAATAAATTTGGACAAAGAATGTTAGAAAAAATGGGCTGGACAAGTGGCAAGGGTCTTGGTATTAATGAACAGGGTACAACAGAGCATGTACGAGTTAAAGTTAAAAATGATTCAGTTGGTATGTACAATATTTTATAAGTACATTCAAAATATAATTATTGTACAAATCTAACCAAGTTTTGAGTTGTTTGAAAGGTATTGGTTTTAAACATGAAGAAGACAAAGCATGGACAGAACATCAGAAAGCATTTGAAGATTTTTTGAGTTCTCTAAATGAAAATACAAATTCTGATACGATAAAGAAAATAAATGTTGAAAATTCTAGAACTACTACTCAATCATTAGAATTAAAATCTAAACAGAGTCGTGCACGAGTACAGTATGTATATTATATTATTATTATTATTTGTAAAATGTAAATATTGAATACATTTAATTGTAATCGATGAATCACTTGACAGCTATCAAAAATTTACACGAGGTAAAGATGTGAAGAAATACAGTGCAAAAGATTTAGCCGATATACTTGGAGATAAAGATATTTTGAATAAGGAAAATCAAATTGAAGAAACACAAGAAAAAGATACAAATACTGAACAAAATGTTGAAAATATTTCAGGAAGTGTGATTACTATAAACAAGGGTAGTATTACCGATTATTTTAAAAAGAAAACTTTGCAATTTCTTAAAGACAAAGATAATAGTAATAGAAATTCTGTAGATAAGGCTGACGATGAAATTGAACAACACAGAGGTTTTGGATTTTTATCCAAAAGTCCTAACAAGAAAAAAAACAATAAACCAAAGAACGAATGTAATTATACCTTTGATAATCCTGCTTTAGATTTACATAATAATAATAATGATGATGATACTGTTTTACAAGAGAATACAAAATGTTTGAAGAAGAGAAAAGGAAGGGATTCATCGTCAATTGAAAATGATATGATGCAAAGTTTAGATTATGAGGAAGAAAATTGTGCAAAAAAGATCAAGATTGATGACAATGATCAAAATTGTAATGAAGGTTTTATAAATATGGCTCTTGATTTAGATATTGATAATAATGAAAGTCATGTTACAAACAAATTTGAAATTTCAAGAATAAATCTTGGCGTTACGAATGGTGCATTAGATTTAACTGATGAAATAAAAGAAAAAAAACGAGTAACATTTAATAATCATGTGGAATACAGTACAGATTCTAATAAAAAGAAGAAACATACCGGTACACTTGATAAATTTGAAGTTGATTCTAAAAAACGTAATAAAAAGAAACAAAAACAATTAGTTAACACTGATGTTTCGAATAAAATTGGTATAATTAATGAAGCATTGGACATTAATTTAATTTCCGATGAATTAAATGATAATAAAGTTAATGAGAGTAAAAGTAAAAAGAATAATAAAAAGTTAATGAAACAACAAAGAATGTCTAATCTTGAAACGATAGAAGAAACATTGGAAGAAGCAGCAGCAGCAGCAGCAGCAGGTACAAACAATGTTAATGAAGTTGAAAATTTGGATAACAATTTAGATTCTAGTATAATTATTATTGAAGAAAATAATACAGAGATTAAAGAAGAAAAGAAGAAGAAGAAGAAGAAAAAGAATAAAAATATAAATCACGAAGTAGAGATCGATGATATTATTATTAATCAAATATCAGAAAATGTAAATAGTTCATCGAAGAAAAAAGAAAAAGTTAAAAAGAAAGATAAACGCACGATAATGGATGATGATATTATTTGTGAAAAAGTTATAGAAAAGATAAGTAATAAAAAAAAAAAATCAAAAGAGAAACATAGAAATGAAGAAGAAGAAGAAGAAGAAGAAAAAGATGTAACGATTGTATCATTGAATAAAGTCGATGAAGTTGTTGTAGATGTTGAAAAAAGTGTAGTAGTCGATGATAAGCTTAAAAAAAAATTAAAACGTAAGCAAAAAAATGATAAAAAGCCTATAAATATAAATCTAGAATGTGAATTGGAAGAAAATGTCGATGATCAAAGTATAAATGATGAAGTTAAAGTACAAGCAGAAAATAAACATGATATAAATGATAAAGAAATGAATACTTTGAACGATACAAAAGAAGATCTTGGAACAATCAATGTTGTGAACAATTCAAAAATGCAATTACCACCAAGTAAAAAATTATCACGTAACAAATTACCGAGAATTAAGTACGAAGAAAATATGAGAAATAGATTTTTTATAGAAAGTTCGAGAAATTATAAAAAGATAATAAGATCGCAGAAAAATTTAAATAACATAGTCCATTTTCCAGGTTCTAATTTGAATAAAATAAAAGATTACGGTGTGGATTTAATTCAATAATTTATGATTATTTAGATTTGTTCATTACTGAGATAACTAATAGTGATAATAATAATTATTTATTTGTACTTCTAAGTATGTATTTCGTTTTTCAAAATGTATAATAAAATGTACTTCTGTATAATCATCGAGTTTTCTCGAACTCTGAAGAATTTAATATATTAAATCTTTTTTGTATATTATTCAAATTTCTTTTTATAATTCAATATTTTTTTTTCTTTTTTTTTTTCATTATATTATTTTTGTAGAATTTTATAAAAAAAAAACATTTTCATAAAATTAAAAAGGTAATATAATAATATTAGATAAAAGTAAATATTATTCAAATATGTTTTTAGAATAATATTATGAAAATATATATATTTTACAAAATTGTTTATGTTTATGTTTATATATATATATATATACAAATATTCATATCAGAGTCATATAACGATTCTCTTGAAGACTGTACAATATTACAACTGGTCGTACCTTTTCTTTGCGAATTTCTCTCATTTCTTCGCAAATTAATTGAATATATTTCTTATGTCTAGGGTGTCTGAAAAAAGTAAAACAATAAAATATTATAAAATAGAATTGCAATGATATACGAATTGAAAATTCGGAGGAAATTGAAGAAAAAATTGGGGAACCATTTGAATTGACTGTAAAATAACTTACTTATCTATAACGATTAGAATGCTTTTCTGAAAGTCTTGTTCCTCTTCATCTATTTCTAAAAAACTGGTTATAGTTCGTATTACTGTCATATCTAAGAAAACGGCAAAAATTTCAATAGGAACTTTATGAGATATTCTTTGTAAATAAAATGACATTTGAGCTAATATAGTATTTTTATAAATACGCTTTCCATTGCCAGTAAGTTTATCTCTCTCTGATATGATAAAATTAATATTAGCATTCGTTGGATTATTTGATGATGTATTAACATCAGTTGCATTAGATTTACTTTCAGATCTATTTAAAATTGGTAAAGGATTATCAGTCTGTCGTTGAAGAAAATCAGCAATTTCTTGAATTCCAATTTTTCTTTCTTGAAATCTATCCCTTTCCCATGTTTGTAATCTTAAATAATTTCTTTCATTATTCTTTAATAATATTATTTGCGTGATAGAATGTTCTTGACAATATTCTAATACTTCTTCTACAGTATTTATATCTAATATAGTTGTCCTTATTCCTATAGACCATAATTCACGAAGTACATTAATCATTTCTTTTTCTCTTCTTGGAAATCCGTCACAATAGATAGCTACATCAATACCAAATTTATTTTCTCTATAAATACTTTCAGACATTTCTTCAACTGCACAAACTAATTTGTCCAGTGATATACTGATTCCAACACCATACTGTTTAGTTTCCTTATTAGTCATTTCTGTGCGTTCTAATATTTGTCTAAATGACATTAACATCTTATCGTAACGACCACCAGCAGCAATAACGTCTTGTCCACCTTTTCGTCTATGTTTCAATTCACACGTAATTTGATATATGACACCGCTATACTGTTTAATCTTATGATGAACCAACAATGGAGCAATTATAATTGGCCACTGAAATATTTGACATAAGATTTATTTAACAATTAACATTCTTATTATATATATATATATATATATTTTTTTTTTCTATACCATTTATATTACCTTAACACCTAAAGCTTCTATATTGGCGATAACTTCTTCTATGTCATGTAAAGCTTCCTTTGCTAAAGGCGCAGCGTCACCTTTTCTTTTTGCTATGGTTTTTAAAATACTTGAAATCTTCGAAAAAGAACTTTCTGTTTCAAATAAATTAAATATTGTTTCTATTGCTTGATCGGTAAGACATAAAGTAATGAAATGCGTTTGTACTTGAAACTTTGTAAATTTTCCATCACGAGCATCGCATAATATCGAATAAACATCTTGATATTTTTCATTTTCTATTCCGCAATACATTAATACAGCTTGTAATAATAATGTATGATTTAAACGTATCGTAAAATTACGTTCTCTTAAATGTGGAATTTCATTAAAAATTTCCCAAGCTATAAAAATTAATTCACCTTCCGCCATTAAATTATTTTCCATAGGACTTATAATATCAAAAGCACATTCATACAATTCTCGCGGATGAAATCCACGAACCTATAATATAAATGGTAATTAATAATCATTGAAAATTTTTTAATAATTTGATAAGGTGTATTTTCAATTTAAATTTACCTTTTTTTCTCTAAAAACACGTTCTATTGCATATCTCCTAAGATGAGGAATTTTATTCCATACAACATATCTGGCAAATGGTGCTCTTAAGTCATGTGGAATGGAAACGATACTTCCAGTTTGTGTCATTAGTTGTACACTAGCATCGGTAAAATTATTATGCTGACTGGACTTTGGCATTAAAAGTGGAGTATTTAAAGATATGCCACCATGTTTTTGAAATATTTCGATAACTTTAGCTTTAACGTTTTCTTGTACATACAGTCTTTTTGATGAAATAAGATTAGTAATTTCTCTAGCAGTAAAATTCATATCGTATGTGATATCTTCAGCTGCTGTTACCTCTTGCATAAAACAAGAAGCAACTAAGTACTTGTATGCTTTGCTTTGAGTATTAGATAAGGTGTGTCGCACCATTTCTTGAAGTTCAGTTTCTTCTAATTGTGGTGGTGGTAAATATTCAGACGAAAGTAATTCTTGTGCTGTTGGTCGCTGAATAGGATCATGATTCAATAACCAACTATAAATAATAAAATACAATGTTTACAAATTTGTACATTTTATCTTTTACTAATATTTAATAGTAATAATAAGAAATAAAAAATTATAGAAATTAATTACCGAAAAAGGTGCACTTGATGAGGCATATTGGATTCCGATAGGTCAGAAGGTAAAATAATATCTTTTGATCTCAAATTTAGTAATACATTTACTCTCTCCATTCCAGTAGTAAGAGGTTTATAACACATTTCAAAAAGTATAATTCCCAAACTATAAATATCTACTTTTTGATTGTAAGTAGGTTTAGAGGTTCTTCCAGAAAGTTCTGGAGCTGCGTATAGAGCTGTACCTACGTCACCTGTTAAAGATCTTACTTCATCTCCGTCATAAAATGAATCTAAATAAAAAAAAAAAAAAATAATATGTTTCTCATTATTTTAATAATTAAATAATTCTAATAGTAAATGTAGAAAATATTCAAAATCATACCTTTGTCTAATCTATCAGTTTCTTTATCATTATCTGCAGTCTGTGCTAATGATGATAATATGTTAGACGTAGCAAGACCAAAATCTCCAATTTTAACATGGTCATTACTATCCAAAAAAATATTAACAGGTTTTAGATCTCTGTGTATCATACCCTGTTGATGTATATGTGCAAGACCTTCAACAATTTCTCTGAACAATCTCCACACTCGTTCTTGATCTTCATATAAACCATTATCAATTGCAGTTCTCAATGTACTTTTCTCACAAAATTCCATTTGTATATACATAAATTGTATTTCTTTTCCTCCAGAAGTATTAAGGGTATTGACATTAGATTTTTCATGATCATTGGAATTATCAGGACTGGCTTGAGAAATGTCTTCTCTAAATTCTATACTATCTGAAGAAGAATCTATTCGACGGAATGTTCTCACTCTAAAATATATATGTTTATTATTATAAGTTAAAGAATTTTTTTTTTCAAATAATGATCTTATTAGAAATAATAATTTACAAATTTTAATTATACTTACACAAATGAACTATCATCATCGCTATCGGATTCAGAGGACTCATCTGAATTGTTATTTTCACTATCAGCTGTATTAGCTGCACTTGCTACAGATCCATACGATATACTCGATTCAATATCCTTTGTAGATGGTGCAGACTTTTCCTCACTTTCCAAATGCTAAAAGTTTACGTCAGACATTTTTACAATATAAGAAATGTATACAACGATATAAACATATTATTTGAGATAGAATTTTTATTGACGTCATCATTAATAATATATTTACATTAACTGTATCTAATTTGGTCACTTGATCGTCACTTATATTTATCGAAGAAGTATTCAAACTTAGTATTGAATCATCATGCCTTAACGATTCATCTATGGTACCACTTTCAATCCATGAGTTATAATAACGAACGACATTTTCATGATTAACACGTGAAAGTAATTTAACTTCGCGTGTAATCTTACGATTTAACTGACGTTTTTTAGGATTTAATTCAATTCGTTTAATGGCATATACACCTCTATCTAATTTATTTTTAACTTTCAAAACATCTCCATAAGCTCCCTTTCCAAGCCATTTTAATATCTCAAATTCATTTCGTATACGCGATTGTCCACCCAACGTTGGTAGATGAAGTTCAATGTCAGAATCTGGTTTCTCAGGTTCATCATTTTTTTGTTCAACTTTATTTTTTAATTGAAGACGAGACAAACCATGATCGAGTGGTGTTTTAATGAAACTATGTTGTAACAATTGTTCAACAGACCAACGCATTCTTTCATCACTAGCGAGACATTTTGAAATGAAGTCTTTTAAATGGGGCTGAAAAAAATACAGAAAAAATTATATTGATTTGGAATGAGCTGATGAATTCAATAATAGATATATACATGTATTCATTTTCAAATACCTGTAATATTATTGTTAAATCGATATCCTTTCCTGATACTATTGTTCCTTTGAGTAAAGAAAGCATCAATATACCAAATCGATAAATATCTGCTTTTTTACCACCTCTGCCTTGAATCGTTGGCAAATCATGTTCAACTTTGGGTAAGGAACTAGTACGATATATATCTGCTAATCTTTTATCTAAAGAATAATCAGCTAGTCTTACTCCACCAATATGATCTATAAAAACACTTGTATCTCGCAAATCCCTATGTACAACATTATTCTCATGTAGGTACTGCAATGCTGAGAGAATGCCAGTAGCCAAATGCCTGAGTATGTCTATATCAATCGAAATGTTTTCCATAAGAAAAAATGCACATGAGGTACCAACCTATTTTTATAAAGTATACATATTTTATTACAAATATATTTATTATATTTAATTGTGTTGAATAATAATAATAATAATAATAATATATTATATAAATTATCAATATAAATATACAAATACATACCACGAATTCTTGAAGTATGTATATTATTATATTATTGTTATCTTGTACATATTTCATATTTAAATAATGCACTAAATTTGGATGATGCAATTTGTGTAAATGATTGAGTTCTTGTTCAAGACTACTGATTTGTTTCATACCATACGATAAATCTGTAATATCACGTTTCTCTTGTTTCTCTTTATGCGTACCATATTTTAATGTCCATTCTGTAACCACTACTAATTCACCAGATGTCATATCTAAACCAGCATACGTGGTAGAACCTTTATTGTTATGTCCTAAACATTTTCCTCTATGTATTTGTCTTTCTCCTTTGCTACTATCAAAATGGAGTAATTTTGTGCCTCTATGTTCACATAGAGAACCTTCTGAACATTCAGATGTACTAGTACATCTACGTCTTGAATATGTCCTTATTCTTTCTTGTGGAGATGATGGTAATGTTTGGGAAGCTGCTGTATCTGGTTCAAAATATTTTCGAGCAAAATTACGCATTTCAGCTTTCAATGCGTCCTGTCGCTTTTGAATCTCATCTTGTAATACCTTGTCAAACAATTGTTAGATTATATTAGTTTACATTGTTATATATATATAAAGTATATAATAATAATAATAATAACAACAACCTGTCTCTCTTTGTTCTCTTTAAGTTGTTTTTCTTGCATCTCATATTGTTTCTTTTCTTCATGTCTAATTATCATTTCTTCATAAAAACTGCTATAACTTGGTTTATTGTGTTCATGTAAATATTTTTGAACATGTTGAGCAAGTTCAAATATCATAACCTCGCCGCTCAATTGACAAGCTAGACGTTTAAGTTCCGAATATAAAATTTCTACTTGCTGATTTGACAGACCTTGGCTATTTTTTAATTCCATGGTTGGTACACTAAACAAATAAAAAATCAATAATAAATGAATACATCAATAGAAATAAAAAAAAAAAAAAAAGTAGAAAGTAAGGTAGGAAATTCCATTTGAACTTACACGTCAGGATACTTTTCTCCGCATGTTATATGTAAATCTATTTGCGCATAAATTTCGGCTGGTCCAGACATTCCTTTCTGTGGTGTTAATGTTATTAAAATATCTAATGGTTGCCATTTTTTCTTAGTCTTATTTTTTCTTAAATCGCGCAACTCATCACCAAATATGGACTGCGAAGATTTGATTTATTAATTATTATTATTATCGTTATATATATATATATATATAAAAATATTTAAAAAAATGTAAACACTGATGATAAACACGCAACGATTAAAAAAAAAAAAAAGGGGTATACTTTCAAAACTTCCAATTCGTTATCCTGACGATCTTTGCATGATTCAATGTTAGACATTTTGATTAAATATTATTTATACATTTTTAAAACACTTGTCGATTAACAATGCGAACACAATATTATTCACTTTGGTTTAATACAGTTTCTTTTAGGACATCGCTGGTGGATTATTTACTGAAATTTTAACCTTAAATTCCAATATTTCCAGCATACTAACATTTATTTTACAGTGAGAAATACTCCCGGTAGTTTATCTTAAAATATTACTTATATGTACAATTATTGTTAAATGATATTTTTGAACGTTCACTTTATCTGTTTAATTGAAACCTTATAGACGAAAGGATAAACGTGAAATCCCGCATCTTTCGGCACTTCTCTAACATTTCCGTTGTATTCGCGCCGTCAACATAATTATAACATGAAAGAACCTGATTCTAGTTAGTTTCCATTATTACCGTCAGGATCGCTAGTTGTATTCGCGCCGTCAACATTAGTTTCCATTATTGCCAACAGGGGCGTTAATGTACCGTCGTTTTTATTTTGACTGTGTTTAAATTCTGTATGTATACTTATCTTCTTTATATACGTATCTTTTACGAGTGATAACAAGTTTATTAACAATATTTGTTTATCGTGTATATAATGTTTATAAGTTGTCATATTGTTTAAAAAGTGTTCACGTAAAGTTTTTATTCTAACCTATGCAATGCTTATTACCATAGAAACTGTTAAATGTTACATGGTTTACAGTTGCTGTTGCAGAGTTAAAAGTATGTATATTTTTATGTTTGTAATATTAAATATTTTTAATATAGAAAATTAATATAAATAATTTTAAATTTAAGGTAAATAGTTCCTATTATATTGGTTATAATTTTATAACAATGTCTATGGACTATTCAGAACGTTATATCTTTGAAGCAGAATGGTACGACAAGGTTGCATGTATATTGAAAAAATTTTATCTATATTATTATCCAGCAGACAATACTGTTGAATTGGTATGAATTAAAAATGATATTCTCTTTTAATTCTGTATTATACAAATATTTTATTTTTAATGTTTACTTTTAATATTTGCAGTTTGATTTGAAAACGAAGAAAACGTTTTTAAGAAGAACCAAATGCGATGGCATTCAAGCAAAAGATTTTTATGTTGGAGCAGTTGTAATGATATATTCAAGAAACATCAAAATTACTGACTACGCTGATCAGGGTACAAAGACTAAATTACAAACATTAACACAAAAGTAAGATTATTTTATTGATGATAATATTTATTTAAGATTTAGATATTTATAATTATTTGATATTTTAGAACTCTTGCAATAATCAAATCAGATGTAATGGATAAAATGGGAGAAATATTGAAACGAATAATGACTCATAATTTTCATATAGCAAATATTAAAATGGTAAAACTTACCAAAGAACAAGCGATAGAACTTTGTAAAGGAAAAGAATCAGCACAATTACCGTAAGTGATAAATATCTTTTAAATATATTATATATGTAAGTTATCTGTGTGTGTATGTGTGTAAATGGAAATATTTTTCTTCGTACAGATATATCATAAATTCCCTAATATCTGAACCTGTCCTAGTGCTAGAACTTTTAGGAGATGATGCTATTGCACAATGGTTAAAAGTTATAGGTCCAGAGGACAGTGATGAAGCTCGTAAAACAGCACCGTCTTCTTTAAGAGCATGTTATGGAAAGGACAATATTCAAAATGGTTTTCATGGTTCTGAAAATCCACAAGCAGCGGAGCATGTAAATTTTTTGTTCAAAAAAAAAAACAAAAAACATGATATTCACATTACAGATTTTAACTTTAATTTAATTTAGTTTATCTGTTTCAGGAATTATCTTTTTTCTTTCCAGATCAAAAAAGTGGGAAGAAAGGACCAAGTAATACTGCAACGTTAAACAATTGCACATGCTGCATTATTAAACCACATGCAGTACAACAGAAACTTATTGGTAATTAAAATAATTTTGATTTTAAGTAACATTGAATTATATAATAATTATTTTAATTGTGTTGTATAAATATATATATATATAGGTCATATTGTTGAAGATATTCAAAAAGCTGGTTATACAATTACTGCAATTCAACAATTTCATGTTGATTCAGTTAATGCAGAAGAATTTTTAGAAGTTTATAAAGGTGTACTTGCAGAATATGCAGTAAGTTGTTAATAAATTAATTTTGAATAAAAATGTTAATAGATAATTATTAATCCAATATTAATATTTCTAAAATAGTCTATGGTAAGTGAGTTACAGTCTGGACCATGTGTCGTGATGGAAATAACTCACAAGGATACAAATTGCGATGTACATACAGATTTTAGAAAATTTTGTGGTCCCATGGATCCGGTAAATAATTTAATTGAATTCTTTTTATAAAATTTACATATTTAGAGTATTTTCATTCATATTTCATATTGTTGAATATTTGATTTCAACATTTTTGTATAGGATATTGCACGTCAAATAAGACCAAATACTTTAAGAGCAAAATATGGAAAAACAAAAGTACAAAATGCTGTTCATTGTTCAGATTTATTAGAAGATGGACCATTAGAGGTAAATTAATTGGATTTATTATTATTTGATTTATTTTCAAATAATATTTCTTATAAATATTCTTTAGGTTGAATATTTTTTCAAGATACTTGATGAAATGTGAACACATTGTAATCATTGCTGGTCAATCAACCTTTTTCTTTATTTTTATATCAAGGAAGGATTGTTTTTTTTTAAATAAAGATGAACTTTATTTGAATTCCTTTTATTTATAATAATAAAACTTCAAATATGTTATAAGATTTTCCTTTTTTACTTAATGGAAACGTACAAAACATGTTGTGCGGTGTACAATGGATGGATAATTGAAGTCTTTAAGATAAAACTTTCGTAATATTTATCTTTTATCGTGCGGAACAACTCAATGCCGTAGAAATCTGAAAATTTAATCGTTTTACATTAAAAAAAATTTACTTTTACCGTTTCTCTTGAAACGACAATTATTCTGATTTATGTAGTAATCTATTATTATATTTATATATATATAAGAGATTTATAGCATTTAAGTAAACCAAACTTTATATAATTAATTAAATGAAATATTGAAAGAAAGAAATTAATTTTTTCTTTCGATACGCACAACATATTTTCAATTGTATTTTACAGATCATAATAATTTTGATTCGTTTCAATAGATAATAAATTTATTATTTGATATGATATCAGAAAAGTAAACAAAAAATTCATAAATTATACTATGTTTTATCATAAAAAAAAAAAAAGAAAAAAAATAAAATAATAATTAAAAAATAATGTAACGCGAGTACAACCGTAATTTCATTGGAATAATTCTTGAAAATGAAATATAACAATTTATATTAACGATGCTTGGTATTAAAACATTTTTTGTTTTGTTTAGTTGATTTGTAAATACTTTTTTTTCAGGTTGTATTGTTTAATTATTTATTTTATAAATTTTAACAGTTACCATTATTTTTGTTGTTGTTGTTAATTTTGACTTACTTAGAACCACTTTCATAATTATGAGCACAATTATATTTATCGTGAAAAAACAAAAAAAAAAAAAATAATATTAGTCTCGTGTTAAAAATAAAATTGTAATGTAATATTTTGATAGTACATAAAAACTATGATCGTGTAAGTAAACTTAGGTAACTCTAATACTGGTATTGCTTTATTAGAATATACGTTTCTAAGTTGGTGTTGGTACCAACGCAATCGGAGAGCTCAGTAGCCTGCACGACATCGCGTTGTGCAGACATACAAATCAACTCGAACGTGATCGGCACGGCACCAATTTATTCGCGAATAAAAATACAAAAAAAATTAAAAAAAAGATTAAAAAAGAAAAAGATAAAAGATAAAAAAAAAATGTTAAATAATTGAACATTCAAAGGAATTTTATACGATTGATTGAGAACAGGATCTTTTTATTTTTTTTTTTTGTTTGATATCAAACGTGAACATAAATCGATTTCGTAACGAACTTATATCCATCATATTTTTAATTAATTAATAAATATAATATATTATTTTATATTTATATTGTTAATTTTTATAAATAAAATATATACTGGATATTGTTAAGTAAGTATTATAAATCTTAAAAAAAAAAAACAAAAAGGAAATGGTATCGATGTAATTGTAAACGAACAAAACGAAACAAAACAAAACATCAAAAGAAATATATAACAACGATACGATATTTTGTATTGCAAAACGTGAGTGAACCTATTTTATGGAATGAACATTTAAAGGTAAGACCTCAATTTCATAATTAATTGAATAATATTTGATTTATTGAATATTGTTAAATATACGAATAATGACAAAATTGAGAAACAATTATTGAATTTTATTTTATATTTTTATACGAAAAATATGTTTTTCTACGTGTATATATATATATATATTTATTTTATTCCTTTTTTTTTTTTGTATAAATTTCGAAATTACAATTTGATGGATGTATGGAAAATAAGAATGCGTAAGATGTTAAGTTGAACAACAATATTCGAGTGTGAAATGATTTGAATTGATAATTTTGACGAAGCAACCAACAAACCCCTAACGCGTCCATTTTTTTTCTTTTTTTTTTTATGACATCCGTCTTTCGATCTAAACTAATTCGCAAGTTCCTTTTGTGAATTCGTTCGAGGTAAATCACGAAGAAGTACGTCATCGTTAATAGAAAGAGAACGAGAGAGAACAAATTTGATTATTCGAGAGTACAATCGTAATTTCTCATTGAATAATTTTGTGAAAATCAAATATAACAGTTTATACCAATGAAGTTTGATATTAAAACATTTTTGTGATTTTTTTTAGTTGTTTTGTTTAATTATTACATTGTAAATATTTTTATTTCAACAATTCGTTGTATTTCATGTTGTATTATTTCATTAGTTTTTATTAGATCTAACGAGTCGTATTATTTCAATAATAATTTTCATGATATTAACATTTGTTTTGTACGTGGTTTTTTTTTTTTAAATTAAAAGAATAAAAGTAGATCATTAAAATATAATGGTAATAATTATTAATATTGTTTAGTGTATATTTATTAATGATATACTTTTTATATAATATAATATTTTTGTTTAGATTATTTGTAATTATAAAATATATAGACAAAATATTTTACATTACATATATATATTATTGGATTTTAATTAGTATTATCTTTTTTTTTTTAAATATTTATAAATGCAATTTTTTAAATAATTTCTATTACTAATATTATAATCTTTATCTACGATAAATTGATATATAATATATAATATAAATTATAATTAATATTAAAATATATTAAAATAATATACAAATAAAAATAAAATAAATTATATTATATACTAATTATATTAATATATATAAAACAAATTAATAGATAATAATTATATTAATAATATAAAAAAAAAAAGGAATATTATATTATTAATATAAATTTTATTTTCTAACAAAATCTACAAATAATAAAATAATAATAAAATCTTGTTTTCGTTGTATACACATAGATACATATGCATATGCATATGTGCATATATATATATATATATATTGTAAAATGTTCTTTGAAAGCTCGAGGATAATTTGCGAGTTCCTCTTTGGAGACGCACTCTAGAAAGAAGACTGGAATCTCTTCTTTGGATATAGACACGCTAATAATCATCAACCTCGATGCACTTGACCCGATTTGTTTAGTTTGTCTCGTTTGGTATCGTACTTGACTAACGGCAAGCATAGTGAAAGCAACTTCGAATGTGTCCAATCTCTTGAGATATTCCTATGACTTTTACCTAACCAACAGGTGTACAGAGTTTAACAATAAAACTGAAAATATATATTCAAGTATATATATATATATATATATATATATATAATGATTGCTAAATGTTCATTCTTTTTTTCTTTTTTTTATATTAATTTTATTTTTTTTTTTTTTCAAACACTAATCGTTCATTAAAAAAAAAATGAACTGTCACACACATTAGTATATAAAATGTATTTTATTAGATATGTCGTTCTTGTATCGTAATTATGATTAATATTACATTTTTATTGTTTTATTAATCATATAAATATAGTTGAATTAATTATTACCTGTATTAAGTTATAAAAGATATAACTTGTTCTTTTTATTTGTAGAAAATTGAGTTGTGTATAACCGGTTAGGGTATAAATAAAATAGACGAATTATTGATTTAATGTTTGAAATAAAAAAAAAAAAAAAAAAAAAAAA